CGGGGGGGGGGGGGGGAGCGCCAGAAGGGATCCTTGCCTAGGGTGCAAAATAAGCTGGGGCCGGCCCTGTGGAGACATCTTGCAAAGTAATATCCCATAGCTCATGTTTTATAAACCATCTTTTAAACATAATGCAAAGGAAAGGCTCCTCTTAAATGTCCAATAAAGCTATTAGGAAACTTCACTTAAGTAGGTAGGTAATATATTTCTTTATCAAGACTGCTCAGCTGAGGTATGTATTACTTCACTGCTCTTTTTATCAAGAGATCCATTCTAAATTTGTTCTTCCCTTACTCAGTAGGTATCCTGGTCATTCAGATTCAGTGTATGATAGAATGTTACTTATAGATGAAAACCCACTGGCCTCACCACTTAGTATAAAGTTTTGTGTGGCAGCTTGTAAAGTGCACCAGATATGTATGCATATTGAATAATTTAAATAATAATTTTACTTATTAATCATTTATTATATTTATTATATGTAGGAGTTAATTTTTAATTTTTTTCTAATCAACCGTGGCTGCAAATCTTGTTATGACTTGTTATGATTTGTGCTGGTCAATGACCATTTTAATAAAGATTGAGACAGAGTGTGTGTGTGTCTGTGTGCACACGCAGAGACTTTGCCCTCTTCTTTCCCAATTTGACAGAAGAAAGGTTTGATACCTGCCCTTAATCTACTGAATTCTCCCCTTTTTTGTTTTGGATAAAATAGTTGAATATTTTACAACAAGCTCTTTATAAAGTTCACACTGCAGCAGAAGACTCTCTGTTTCTGTGAAATCAGAAAATTATTATTTTTAAATTATTAAAATAGATTGATGCATTTTTAAAACTCGTTTCTGGGGAATTTCACATAAGCTCTTGGTTTACAAAACTTAATACTTGGCCCTCGCAGACTCTGAGTAAACTAGGGTTGCCAGCTGGGAGGAATTTGGGAGTGTGTGTGTGTTCAAGGACAGGTTACCATAGAGTTTTAGGCAAATCCTAGAGTATCACCCTGACCTGATGACATCACTTCAAGTTTGGCACCAAAAGTGACCTCATGTGCTGCTGGCATGCCCCCCTCAATTTCCCCCCACCAGCCTGCGAAGTGCCAGCAGGGTTATCTGCAAATGTGTAGCAATTGTTGGAAATGTAAAGCAAATGTGGGGACGTTTTATCACATGTGGTGGAATTGTTGTAAGCTACGTAAATTCTGGAAAATGGTGCAAAGAATTATTTTTGAAATATTGAATGTAGAGATAAAACTAGTGCCTGAGATATATCTACTGAATATAATTCCCAGAGGTTATAAAAAACAAGATAAATATCTGATAGTATATATAGTAACTGCAGCACGTATACTAGGGGCGAGAAATTGGAAGACGGATAAATTACCCTCAAAAGAGGACCTAGTTATTAAACTCATGGAGCTAGCTCAAATGGATAATTTGAGTCAAATATTGCAAAATAAAGACCAAAAATACCAAGAACAAAGGTGGTTTAGGGTATATGACTGGATAGAACATCAAACAGATCAACTTTGAAGTATGTGGGGGGGGGGTGAGCCTTTTGTAAAGTATTAAGACGTAAACTATGGACTGACAACTCTAAAAATGTGAATAATCTAATATGGTGAAATATGTAATGTTTTGAAAAACCTTTTAAAAATAAACATTAAAAAAAGGAGACCTGCCCCCCCCAGGAGGGAACTAATTTGCAACAGCATCCCTCCATTTTTTACATATATAAATGGATTGACTTAACAGTGCATCTGATAAAGCAAGCTCTGACTCACAAGGGCTTATGCTGAAAGAAATCCTATCAGTTTGTAAGGTTCCACTGGACTCCTGCTAGATATTACTCCTACAGACTAACACTATACCCTATCTGGAATTTTTTTCTACAGTCCAGTAAAAACAGCTGAGCTTAAAGCTTGTCCATTAATGTACCCAAGACCCACTTTGTACTATAGCTTATCAAGTAAACACCAAGAGCCCACCTGAGCTCAAAAGCCACAGAAGAAACCAAACCAGAAGTGCACCAGTGTGAAGGCGAAATTTTTCTAGAAAGAATAACACAAGAACTTGCACATTTGAAAATAGGACTACCTGCCATGAACAAGCAAGAGCCCCTGAAGGTATCTGAATTGAAGCTACAATCATATGCACAATTAGACCCGCCATAGGCGCGAATGCCGGGCGGATTTAAAGGGCGTGATCAGACAACATCTGGAAAGCGCCCCAGAGCCATCTGCAACCCATTCTGCTCCACTGCAGAAGTGGAGTTAAAAGACACCAGGGGAAATCCAGTAGTAAACGGGTTGCGACGGGCCACGGACGGACTTCCCCCTGTCTGATCGCTCCTGCGCACTCTCATGGCGTCAGGATGGTCTGATCAGGCCATCCCAACTCCGTGCCGCTGTCCCCCCCCCTCAGTATGCGCATCATCGCAAACTCCATGGGGGGGTTAGTAGTTTATGTTTTAGCATTTTATTTTTAAGATTTATACATTGTTTTTGCATTTTACCCTTTTCGCCCTTAGGCATGAGCTAGAATGGATATTGCAAGCTGTAGATCGTCAAAAGCAATGATAAGAAAGTATGGAGCAAGAATGCATTATATGCAGTGAAGGTTTCCTGCCTTCCATAACCTCTGGGCTAGTAGCAACAGCTATTCACACTCTGAATACATTTTGCCATGTTTGTATCAAGAGGGAGTTGCAGAACTGTACAGCTAGTACCTATCTGTTTATTCCACACGCCTTTTGTAAGTCCTAGGACATGGTACAAGGGCACATGTATAATCCATCAACCTGGCTGTACTGGTGTGGCTCTGATCAGAGTTTGGATGGGAGACTTCCTGTAGGAAGCACTGAGTTGCATGAAAGAAAGGCACAATATAAATGTAACCACAAAAACATCTTGTTTCTTTCAGCAAGAAACAACCCAAAATGGAGAGATACTTCCAACGCTGTCAGCACAGCATATTAAGATTTACTCTAACTGAGATTCTTCCCACGGTTATCTAATTGTACTTAATGCTTAGGAATGCTAAGAGCAATTAGAACATTAATTCTGTTTAATTTGGACTGCTTGGGTACAATTTCAATGATACACAAGAGGCTCTGGAGTTTTTGTAATGCTTGGAGGGCTGCAGTTTCCTGGCACTCCTGAAAAAAAAAACTTTATTCCCTGCCAGAGTGCAATTAGCAGCACAAGACTCGAAAAGGACCTCTCGCCAAGCTCTTCGGTTTGTGACAAGGTAGAGCTTTCAAATGGATTTGTCCTTATTTCCAAACAGCAGCACCTTCTCCATCGGATTCCACCCCAAAGTGCTGATTAAGGAATGCTATTTGAAGAACAACAGTACTTCTAGCAGAGGAACCTGCCTTATGCTGACCATCTAAGCCAGGGGGAGAACTGACCATTTTACCTACAGGGAAAGTTCCTTGTGGGACACTCCAGGGCCCCCAGCAGCCAGGAGCAAGCAGAGGCAACACTGGTAGCTCTGCCAACTCTGCAGGGAGTGCTTGGCTCAGACCCATCCTGAGCAACAGTGCTTGATACAGCACACTAGTTGCAACCTCCTGCAACACTGAGCCGGCCTTGGCTGGGAGGGTGGGGTATAAATTTGGTAATAAATAAAGTTGGCGGTGGTCAGGATTAGCAGCAAGGGGTGCGCTGCCACACATACTGGACACTGCTGACCCAGTCAAAGGGCCCCTGGGACGCTCAGCTCCCGGGCTGTTTTAACTCTCCGGTCTGCCCTTGCTACCGGAGCTGTGGTGGCTCAAGTGGTTAAGACGCTGAACTGCAGGCTGTGGAAGGTCAGTAGTTCAGCAGTTCGAGACCCGAGTTGCCGCATGATGGAGTGAGCTCCCGTCTCTAGTTCCAGCTCCTGCCAACCCAGCAGTTCGAAAGCAAGACATTGCACGTAGATAAATAGGTACCACTTTGGTGGGAAGGAAACAGCGTTCCGTGCGCCTTGGTGTTTAGTCATGCCGGCCACATGACCACGGAAACGTCTTCGGCTTTGAAACGGAGATGAGCACCGCAACCCTAGAGTCAGATTCGACTGGCTTTCGAGCAAGGGGACCTTTACCTTTACCTTCCCTTGCAACTAGCCTCAGCACTGCTTACTTTGGCTGCTCAGACCATTCCCAGCCACGCTACCTGAGATCCTTTGAACATAAATGCTGAAAGCTGAACCTGGGTGAGGCCTGACCAAGGCAGTATACAGAGGGGCTATGACCTCCTGTGATTTCAATGCTATGGCCCTTTTAATACAACCCAAGACTGAATTTGCCTTTTTTGCCACTGCATCACACTGACTGCTTATATTCAGTTTACAGTCCACTTACCCCAAGATCTCTTTCGCACACACTACTCCATTCTATCATCCCATAGATTCTAGAAGAAATACCTTCCTGAATCACCATGAATTTGCCAGGCTGGGATTGGCAACTACATATGGCTGGATTCCTTTCCTCTCCACTCTTCCTTTCATATTGAAAATGCTCTTATTTTTTATCCATCTCCAACAGCCAAGGTGATGACTTTCCTGCATTTCTGAACCAGCGCCACCACCTGTGCTTTCTGTAAGGACATGAGTCTGCAACGGATCACTGTTTTACAAATGCAAGCAAATTCCAAAAACTTGTTTTCCAGATTGACTTAAAGTGCATGTGTCTGTAATAGGGCTGCCAAGCCGCGGCAGGGAAACCGCACGTCTTCACAGGCTCCCTGCCGTGGGGGACAGCGATACACGTTGCACCGCCGTCACCAGGATGTGCAACGCGTATTGGTGTCCCCCGCAGCAGGGATCCTGTGAAGACGTGCGGATCCCCCACCGTGGCTTGGCAGCCCTAGTCTGTAAAAGAGAATTAATAACTTGCCATACAACTGCATTTTAAAACACCTCAACTGGAGCTGGAGCACCTTTGTATTTATTTATTTAAAATATTTCAATCTGCTTTTCAGACAAGAAATCCCCACTCCTATCCCTCAAGTGGCTTATACAAGTAATAAAAAACAGAGATAAGCGTTACAACACATCACAGAACAAGAGTGGCTTAGAAACTGCAACCAGCAGGCAAATGAAAGCAATCAACAAATTTATGGAGAACCAGGCCCAAAGGCTGACTCTGCAATCCCACCATCAGAACTATTACTATGCCACTCTTATTTGGTTATGATAGGGAGACACACAGCTGATGCTGGCCTGCATCTCTCTAATGCGACGCAAAGAAACTTAGGAGGCAGCATAATTGTGCTCTCCACCTAGGCCACTTTATTGGCTTCCTCTTGCGAGAAGTGGGGAATGAGGCCAATTCACTATTCAAGTTGCCCAAATGGCTGCTTGGGGAGCCGAGATGGCAGAGGGAAGCGATGAGAGAGGAAGCAAGAGGCATAGCTAGTGCCTGTGGCTACCTCCTATGCCCACACTGCTGTAGCTTGCCTCTAGGGTAGGTTGCAGAGGTGCTGCTTCCAGAACTTGCCCTGAACCCAACAGAGGCAGAACAATAGGAGGTCCCACTCCCTGTGCCACCGCAGCTGTTGGCCGAGTCCATGGCCAGCAGCATGTATCATTGGAAGCTGTCATGCACCTTGCCAGCGTGGCATTGCCCCACCCATACTAGGGTTGCCAACTTCCAGGTGGTGGCTGGATATCTCCCGCTATTACGGCTGATCTCCAGACGACAGAGATCAGTTCCCCTGGAGAAAATGGCCACTTTGGAAGTTGGACTCTGGCATTATTCCCCAATCTCCGTCCTCCTGAGGCTCCACCTCCAAAATCTCCAGGTATTTCCCAATCCAGAGCTGGCAACCCTAACCTATACTGCTGCCTCCCAGGCCTAGTATGGTTTGCAGAGGCCCCGTGTCACCCAAACTGCCTGTCTCCTTTTAACTGGGGGAATTAGCAGGGAGACAGCGTTGAGCAAAATGGGTGTAACAGACGGGAACATACACCTCTGTATACCAGGGTCAGTCTCAAAGAGAGAAACTCTTTAAATCATGTCACGTGATGCTTCTTCTTTTACTAGATATTAATTGGAAGAACCAGGTCATTTCCCCCCGCACACAAAAAAAAGAAATGGGGACTCTTAGTACAAAACACAAGCACAGTTTTATAACATCATCTCCCAAAACGACTATTATGGTAATTCAGTCTTGTTAGTGGACATTGCTAGATAAAAAGTATGTCAAAAAAAAGTGGATAACAAAGCAGACCCTAAAACACACAAACAGAGAACAATTTCAAGAGTGGAGGGGAAATGCAAAATACTTTGTAAAAGCCAGTGTGCACATCTTCTAAGCAGAACTTTTGTTCAGCAAAGTCACATTTCCAGCCACAGGCAAACACACGCACATAAACTGATGGCTTATTTTGACAACTGATAACCTTTCCCAAGTTCTTCTGAACTGTAAGACTATCAGCAGGCAAATCAAGAGGACACGTTTTTGCCTATGGCTATAGTCCTGGGTTTGTTTTTTTCTCCCCCCATATTGCTATTTTAAAAGTGCCTTAAAAAGACATTTCATCTGCAATCTTTAAAGGGGAAAAAGCATAACCCCCAAAAAATAAAGATCAAAGTGATTACAGCAAGTTTATTCTGTGCCTTCACAACAAGCCCCATTCAGAGTTCATCTAGACCTTTTAATGGTCTTTACAATTTTTTTTAAAAAGCATTTCTGATATTTGTTCCAAGATTTGGAAGCTGACCAACATACAAGCACAGCAATAAAAGTAGGATTTTTCTGTTATGACAAGAACCAGGTTTCTTAACCAAAGCCAAGTGTTTTGGTCTCCCTGCAAAAAGGCAGATATTTAGGTATCTTAATGACATTAATTTGAAGCAGTAATGACTTTCGGGTCAGTGTGTGCTCTCAAACAGCAAACATCAGGAATGCATTCGGCATCAAGCTGTTGCTTCTACCTTGCTGCTTTAAAAAAGTAATTGGCAATGATTTGTGATATTCTCCTTGCACAAGCACTTAAACAATACCACTGGTTAATTTCTAATTAAGACAGGGCTGTTCTTTTTAAAGCTGAACTAAGTGACTAATTTGATTTCCACTCCAAAAGCCACCCCAAACCTAAGATGTCATTTCCAATTGTTTCTTGCTGCTCAGTGGTTACTATGTTTTTAAGT